GGCCCCGGGCCCTGCCACCTGGGAAGCGGCCGCAGCGGGAGCCGCCGCGGCGTCCAGGTGAGTCCAGTCCGCACCCCGCGGCGGGGCTTCGAGCGCCGGTCCCCTGGCAGCGCTTGGCCGAGGTCGGGACCTGCACTCCCGGACTTTTCCAGAAAGGCCGAGGGGTCGGTCGGGACTTCGTGGGAGACGGTTAGAGAGACCGGGCAGCCCGCGGCCGACGATCCCAGCTCTCCCCCCCCCCCATGCTGCGGTGACCCCCGACCCCGCATTCTGGCTTCCATCCACTGGACAAACGACTTGTGGAGACCCCAGAGAAGAAAGAGGAAGGACGGGTTTCATTTAATTTCCTCTAATGTGTCATGAGCGCGCTCTGCATATTATACAGACATCTATACACACAGATGCATACATAATATACATTTATTTATTTAAAGCAAATTGGTCGTCACTTCCTTGAAAAATATTTCCTAGAACTCTGCCTGGAGTTGTGGCTCAAGCCCTAGAGCACCTGCCCAGCAAACGCAAGGCCCTGAATTCAAACGCTAAATTCCTAGAAGAACTCATACTTTAGGAAACTTGCGCACTAATTATTAAGTTAGCCTCCAGAGGATTTGAACCGGTTTACATCCTATCCACGTGTCTGGGAATGTTGTTTTCCATCTTGACCAGGGCGATAGGCACAGTATGTTGTCAAATGGTCTTCGTTGGCATAGCGGGTGTATGTATGCGTTTTTCATATATATATCGTACGTGTCACTCAATCTTGTGTTGATTGGTCATGTCTGTTGCTTTTCTGTGGATGTTGGTACTGAGATTTGAGGCATACCCCCAGCTCTTGCATTTTAAAATGTTTTTCCTTTTAGATGTTCTCCTTTTACTCAGTCATTTGAAGGATTCCTTAGCATTGTACAGACAGGAGTAGGATCATCTAGGAGCTGCAATGTCTTGCAGAGTAAGAGAGGACATTAGAGTCAGACACTGCTTTGCCACTTGCATACCTTGGGCGGGTCTATGAGTTCATCCGGGTCCCTCATTTCATCTTTTAGGAATGACAGTGGAAGGAGGGGGAAGCTGGTGATGGCCCATCTGAAGTCCATTGTATTACAAACCATCCTAAATGCAGCCTCAAGGCCCTGCCTCCTCCTAGCCTGGGTTCTTTTGGCTTTTATTTTTGGCTGGTCTTTGAAGACTTCCCCCAGGTCTATTGTAAATAATACATTTCTCTCCCCTTCTCTCCCTGTTTTTTGTTTCCAAGGATTCCTTCTTGATTGTAGACTGACAAGGCCATTTTGTTGGCTTGCCCAGCACCTTGTGGGTTATTCTTTTTACTTTATTTTTACCCAGCCACATTTAAAAGGATTGAGGGAATGAGGAGAAAGAAACAGAGGTTTAATCTGCCACCAAGGTTAAATCCCTGAGGGGAAAAAAAAATCCCTCATTGCAGGTAAGTGCAGGGTTTTTGTTGTTGTTTTTATTTTTTTGGTCAGTCATGGGGCTTGAACTCTGGGCTTGGGCACTATCCCTCAGCTCTTCAGCTCAAGGCGAGCTCTCTACCGCTTGAGCCACAGCACCACTTCTAGTTTTTCTAGTGGTTTATTGGAGATAAGATTCTCATGGACTTAACTGCCCCAGCTGGCTTTGAACTGTGATCCTCAGATCTTAGCCTCCTGAGAAGCTAGGATTACAGGCATGAGCCACCGGTACTGGGCTATGAGTGCCATTTTTAACATCAAACCAAATTGAGAATAGGCGATCCTTGTTTTTGTTTCTTTAAAAAAAAATCTCAAAAGTGGGGCTGAGGATGTAGGTCAACGGTAGAGCATTTGCCAAACATGCACAGGCCTTGAGTCATATCCCCAGCCATAGGGGGGAAAAAGCCTGGCATTTGTGGCACACCTGTAATCCTAACAACTAAGAAGGTTGAGATCTGAGGATTGTGGTCCAAACCTAGTCTAGGCAGGAAAGTCTGTGAGATTCATCTCCAATTAATTATGGAGAGAAAGAGAGAAAACATAGGTGGAGCTGTGGCTCAAGCCATAGAAGCCTTAATCAAAAAAACCAAGAACAGTGCCCAAGCCCCAGGGCTGGCACCAAAAATTAAAAAGTAAAGGAAAGAAACTTGAAGTTTGTTGGTGTTTCGATTTTCATGACAGTTTGCCAATATCACCAGTACATAGTTTCTGTACTAGTTTTCTCATGGCCCGTAAATGACCCATATTTCTCAAGGTTGTGCAGTAGGCACATGACGGTTCTGAGATAGGAAATGTATTTGTAGCATCAGTCAGTGAGCTCTCCTGTGTTAATCACACTTTCCACATCCTCTGTGATTGTATTTCATTTTTTTTGCTTGCTTGTTGGAAATTTTATTGAGGGGTTAACTCAAGTTTCTGAAGATTACCAGCTTGGCTCATTTTGGGGTGCTCCCTTTCCCCTGAGTATTGCTAGTGGAATGCTTCAGCTGTGGCCCAGGCCATTTGGTTTAATCCATGTTGCACATAGGATACCTGTAAGCCTGCACAAGGTCAGGATAAGTTCCCACCTGTACCACTTACAAGTGGTACAATCTAGGGTGAGAATTGCAACACCTCTGTGTGTCAGAGGCTCTTCCCCTAAATGGATGCAATAGTAAGAACCATCCTGGGATGATCATGAAACCCTTACAGCCAAGTCCGGTATGTGGGAAATACTGAATGCTAGCTGGGCTCATGTGTACCTGGGGCACCTTTGGGAATTGTGCATGCTGTGATTGGTCCCTCTTGAATGTTGTGGGTGGCCTTTGTATCCTGTACCTATAGGTGTCTCAGACACACGTGGCTTTGTGGGACAGCTGAGGGGACCAGAATGTCTACCATCAGGTGTTTCCCCTTTGGAGTCTTGCATCTGTTTACTCAACTTGCCTCTTTCTGTAGGATGTTCAGTGTAACCAAGGCCACGGAGAAGGCTCTGCTTCAGCACTTCATATACCAGAAGTTGGAGATCGCCTATGCCATACACAAGCCCTTTCCGTTCTTCGAGGCCCTCCGAGACAACAAATTCATCACGGAGAGGGTGTACAGAGTGAGTCTTGTGGACCCCTTCCCACAGTAGCCCAGCTCTCTCCAAGTACACTCAAATCATGACCCACCAATGCTTCTAGACAATGGAGACCCAGCTCAGGCACATTCATTATTGCAGAAGGGAGAGAGGATGTCACAGGAGTTGTATTAGTTTGAGATTACCATGGGGGCTGCCATGGCAAACAAGCATGAGCCAGGGTGAGGCTCATTCTCACAGGTCTAAAGGTCAAGCTTGCTTCCTTCTTAATGTTCTGAGGAGAACCCATTTTGGTTACAAGTGGCCCATAGTAATCCTTTATCTTCCCCATACAGTCACTCTACTTCAGCCTGTTTCCATACTATAATGTCTTTTTTGGATCTTGTCCACTTTTCTCTTTTTTGAACATTTGCTTTTAAGGTCCATCTTAATCTGAGATCCTTAATTACGTCTACAAAAACTCATTCTGTGAATAACTTCATATTCATTGGTTATAAATGGACATACCGCTGTTTGGGGGTGGGGCGCCATTCAACCTAGTTGGGGTGATACACATGCCATCCCAGGGTTTTTGTTTTGTTTTTTTGCTTTTTTTGTGTGTGTATTTTTTTTGCTGGTCCTCAGGCTTGAACTCAGGGCTTGGACACTGTCTTTGAGCTTTTTCACTCATGACTGGTGCTCTACCACTCGAGCCTCAGCTCCACTTGTAGCTTTTTGATGGTTAATTGGAACTAAGAGTCTCATGGACTTTTCTGCATGGGCTGGCTTTGAACAATGATCCTCAGATCTCAGTTCCTGAGTAGCTAGAGATGTGAGCTGTAGAGCCTGTCTCAAGACTTACTTTTAAGGATAGATTGTTTACTCCTGTAACCATGCCTCTAAATATATGTAGGCTAATGTGAGGACTGCGACCTCTCTAATTTAGATACCTTGACTCTACATTTGATGTTAAACTTTCCTCTTAAAGAGATAAAATAGAGATGGATACTGGTGGCTCATGCCTGTAATCCTGGCTGTTTAGGAAGTGGATATCTGAAGATATAGGTTCAAAGTCCCATGTAGGAAAGTCCATGAGACTCTTCTCTCTGATAAATTACCAAAAAAGGCCAAAAGTGGCACTATGTCTCAAATGGTAGAGTGCTCACCTTGAACAAAAGAAGCTCAAGGACAGTACCCAGGCCCTGACTTCAAGCCCCAGGACTGGAGAAGAAAAAAAAAAGACAAAATAGAGCTGGACACTAGTGGCTCATGCCTGTAATCCTAGGTGTTCAGAAAGCCAAGATTGAGGCCTATAATCCTAAATGTTCAGAAAGCTGAGATTGAGGATCACAGTTGAAAGCCAGTCCAGGCAGGAAAGTCCATGAGAATCTTATCTCTAATCACTCACCTAAAAGCAGGAAGTGGGGGTGTGGCTCAAGTGGTAGAGCACTAGCATTGAGCAAAAAAGCTCAGGGACAGCACCCAGGCCCTGAAATCAAGCCCCAGGACACACACACACACACACACACACACACGACCAACACACACACGACACGACAAAATAGCCAAGCATAATGATTCATGCCAGTAATCCCAGCACTCAAAAGGCTGTAACCAGCCAGCATGAGCTTTATCATGACATAGTCAGACCCTGACAAAGAGTAAACTGGTTTTCTGATGGCTCAGAAAACCACAGATGTGTAATGCTCCACTCAGGGCTCATCATTTACATTAACCCCTTTGGTTGAGTTTTCAAAGGAATCCCTGGAAGCCTGTGGAAATCTGGTGCCCATTTCCAGAGTGGTGCACAACGTTCTCACCAAACTGGAGAAGACTTTTGACTTGCCGCTTCTGATGACACTGTTCAGCCAGAGTAACCTGCGTGAATATCCCGATCTCATGGTCATTTTCAGGAGCTTCGGAAGCGGTAATGTGCTGCTTGAATGCTTTCTGCGTGGGAGAGGTGGCTGTGCTAGAAGTCTGGGGATTTGCACTCTGCTTGGGAAGGTATGGGCCAGATGCAGAAGGCACATCTGGAAGGAATACAGACATCTGTCTTACCTACCCAGTGAATTAGGGGGCAAAGGTAGCGTTTAATATACTTGGCAATCTCCAGGGAGTGCTATTAGATGACAGAAATTCCAGAAACCAGGTCTGACTGGGAGAAGCAGTGAGAAAGAAGGGAGAAGAATAGACAATAAATATCTCTTTTGTTAATATATTGTCCCAAACACTTTATAGGGATCTCGTGTGTGTGTGTGTGTGTGTGTGTGTGTGTGTGTGTGTATGTGTGTGCGTGTGTGCGCGAGCGCGCGCGCACGTGCACTTACCTGTGCATGTGAGTGTGCCAGCCAGTCCTGGGGCTTGAACCTCAGGGCCTGGATGCTTTTCCTGAGATTTTTTTGCTCAAGGCTAGAGCTCTACACTTGAGCCACATCACCACTTCTGGTTTTCTGGTGGTTAATTGGAAATAAGAGTCTCATGGACTCTCCTGCATGGGCTGGCTTTGAACCTCAGTCCTTAGATCTAAGCCTCCTGAATAGCTAGGATTACAGGTATGAGCCACCAATACCTGGCTATTCACATGTTATCTTTAAGAGAACTCTATGAAGTCATCAGTAGCTGCACTTAATAGACAAGGAAGTTACAGCTCAGAAGTAACTTTCTTCAAGTTATTTGCTCATTTAGAAGTAGAACCAGTAGTCCTATTTGGATCTTCACATACCAGGACCAAAGATCATAGCCACTATTCTAAACAAGAGCAGTAGGAAGGCAGATTGTCAGGCTTTGGGATGGAAGAAAGGTAGCTGAGAATAAGGGAGGACTCTTGGACAGGCACTGAAAGAGAGGTTAAGAGAAAGAATGGAGAAGTAAATGAGAATGAATGAAAAGCTGGTGCGTTGATTGTCTTTCCATCACTATAGCAAAAGGCCCGAGATGGTTCACTTATAAAGAGAAAAGGTTCTTTTTGGCTCATAGCTTTGTAGAGTCCAGTCTATGATCAGTTGTCTGTTGTTGCTTTAGGCCTCAAGACAGGAGTGTGTAGTAAAGTAAACCTGCTCATTAGGTGGCCAGAAGGTAGAGAAAGGAGAGATCAGGGCCCCGCAGTCCCCTTCAGAGACACGTCCTAACCACCTCCTACCATCTTTCTATGATACTGTCCTGTGGAACTAGCTTTTAGCACATAGACTTTTGGGTAACATTGAGCATCCAAGTTGTCCAACTGGATAAATAAAGGTAAAGAAAGGTTGGAAGAAAGCTCTCTTACCCCAAAATGAGCAGGGACGGACACTGTCAGTGGAGGAGTCACCACTGTGGACCACTCCTCTGCTCCCTGACACTTCGTCATCACTAGGCTTCTCAATAAAGGAAGAATGGATTCCTAAAGCTAAGGGGAAAGTTCCCCTCCGGGCAGACGCAGCAGTACTTGAATCCAATCTCCTGGCCACATGGAATTAGGGCAGGGCTTCGGTGATATGTGAAACTTGTCTGAGAACCAAAAAGCCCCTGATGCAGCTGTGTTGCTGGCCTGGCTGGGCTTCAGCATCTTCCTGGACCTGTGGCTGTGTGATTTTATTCTGGGTCCAATTCTAAATACATTTCCCTTTCTGTTCACCGCTGAGACAGTTTTACTTCTGTTATAAATGACAGAGAAGAACCGACAAAGCCGAGCAGACACCATGCAGAGGAACCACCTATCAGCAATGGAAGGCACAGAGGCTGAGGCAGCACAGAGAGCAAAATCTAGAATACAGCAATCCCAGTCTACTCTGCCAAGAATTTGTGGTTTATCTTACTTACTCCAAGGAGATATGTGTGTTTATTAAAACAGAAACCTCTAAACTGGTTGCTGGTGGCTCAATTCTATAATTGTAGCCACTTAGTATAGATGTGATCTGAGAATCATTGTTTGAAACCAGCCCAGGCAAAAAAGTCCATGCAACTGTTTAGCTAGAAAAAGCCGGCATTGGGGCTGTGGCCAAAAGTAGTAGAGCAGCAGCCTTCAGTAGAAAAGGTTTCAAGGAACAGTGCCCAGGCCCTGAGTTCAAGCCCTAGTACTGGCACGTGCATACACACACAAAGACTTAGGTTAAAATCATAACTTTTCTATAATTGACTAAATGCCGTGAAACCAGAATCAAAGTAGAATTCCTAGGTAAGAAGTCAAGCTCAACTTTATGTGTTAAAACATTGGTAATTGATCTGAGACTAAATGCAGTTATGATAGCACTGCATGCCAGATTGAATCAATGAAACAGAAAGGGGCCACATATAGACAGCTACAGTAATGGTTCTGTGTGCGCTAGGGGAGGATGGCTGGGCGCCCTGTCCTGTTAGAAGTCATGCATTAACCCCTAGGATCCCCTTCCTGGACAGTCCTGAGTCTCGAGGGTGCTGATGTGTTCTCTTCCCCAACCCCAGTTGTTGCGTCCTATGAGCACTGGAGCAGAACCACACCAAGTGGCTCAGTAGAAGAGAGCTCCCTGCAGACCCCGCAGCTCCCGGGGCCCCATCCACCCACCCTGAGCTCTCTGCTGTGTACGCCTGGAGTCACTGAGCTCCAAGCAGCCTCGGAGCAAATCAACAAGATCCTACATGAACGGCCCAGCCCTTCCAACCCTGCCCTGCCTCTCCCTGGACTCATCCAGGAAGGACAAAACAGTCCAGGTAAGAAAGATACTCCAGGGCTGGGAAGGTGGCTCAGTGGTAGAGCGCTTGCCTTGCACGCCTGAGGCCCTTGGTTCGATTCCTCAGCACCACATAAGCAAAAAGAAAAAAGCTGGAAGTGGCACTCTGGCTCAAGTGGTAGAGCGCTAGCCTTGAGCTGAAGAGCTGAGGGACAGTGCCCAGGCCCAGAGTTCAGGCCCCACGACCAGACCCCCCCCCCCCAAAAAAAAAAAAAGAAAGAAAGATACTCCAACACCCAGGCACACACAGCCTAGCGTGCCTGGGCTGTGTTGCCTAGAAACCTGTGTTCCTGTCTTGTATTGATTTGGACCTTCCTGGACTGGAGTCGTAGCTAGTGGTAGCAGGTGAAAAAAAAACTAATTTAACCAAGTAATGGAGGCTCACTCTTATCCTAGGTACTCAAGAGGTTGAGATCTGAGGTTCGCAAGTTGAAGCCAACCTAGTCAGGAAAGTCTGTGAGACTCTTATCTCTAATTACCAAAAAAGCCAGAAGTGGGTCTGTGGTTCAAGTAATAGAGTGCCAACATCAAGTAAAATAAGCTCAGGAGGGCTGAGAAGGTGGTTCAGTGGTAGCATCAGGCCCTGGGTTCAATTCCTCAGCACCACATAAGCAGAAAAAGCCAGTAGTGGTGCTGTGGCTCAAGTGGTAGAGCGCTTGCCTTGAGCTCAGGGACAACGCCCAGGCCCAGAGTTCAAGACCCAGGACTGACATACATACATACATACATGCATACATAGGCAAGCAAGCTCAGGGACAGTGCTCAGGCCTTGAATTCAGGCTCCAGGATTGGTACACACACACACACACGCACACACCCTAATTTCAATCACCACACACACACACAGACACACACACACATACATGCATACATAAGCAAGCAAGCTCAGGGACAGTGCTCAGGCCTTGAATTCAGGCTCCAGGATTGGTACACACACACACACCCTAATTTCAATCACACACACACACCCTAATTTCAAACACACACACACACCCTAATTTCAATCACACACACACACCCTAATTTCAAACACACACACACACACACCCTAATTTCAGTCACCAAGTAAGGTAGCCCCAATCACCAAGTAAGCTAGCCCTTCCCATGTTTCACCTCTTCTGGGAAGAATTACAAGCACTTCCAGGAAGCACCTAGCACACTTGCAAACAAGAAAGGAAAGGAGTTCTGTCCTCCTGAAGATGCTGCTTTCTGTAGTTCCAGTCATACTGTGTTATAAGCCTTTACCATGGGACTGCAGCCATGGTGCCCAGCTCTGCAAACCCTGTTCACTTGCACCTTTCCTTTATATGGTTCTAGGAGCCAGGCAAGACGGTGCACTTGGGAGGTTGAGGCAGGAGAATAGTGAATTTGAGACCATAGTCTCAGTAGCTAAGACCGTGGGTAACTGACTGCCATCCTCGTTACCTGCCTTGCCTCTTTGTCTCTTTCTAGGACCCGGACAGTTTCTTGTCTGTTTTCTATACCCTGCATCTGAAAGTAGTCTTTGTTAGAAAGCCCACAGCTGGGCAGAGGGCACTGCTGTCTTCCCTTTCTGCAGTGATAATACCTCCCTATTGTCAGACAGAATACCCTCCCTTCCCACAGCCCTGACTCCATCTGCCTCTCTCCTCCATGGCGCCCATTAGCCCTTCATCTGTCAATGTGTACTCTGTCACACAAGGCACTGTGTGCAGCTCATTCTCCGCTGATATGGCTGATAACAGGATTTGCCTACCCTTTTTCCCTCCCTCTTTCTTACCTTCCTTTCTCTCCCTTCCCACCCCCCTCGCTACTTTAGAGTTTCTTCTCCTATTACTTTGGTGTGACAGCATCATCTAAAGTCACCCATAACCTCTAGTTTGAAGGCCAAATGTAGAAGCTGCCTATTTCTGACATACACAATTGGAAGATCTAAGCTTGTATCTCTAAAAGATTGCATATTCCTTCTTCCCCCCTCTTAGGAAGGAAAAGAAAAAGACATATTTGGCCAACTCCAAAGAGACATCAGAAAAAAAGCTGCCCAAAAGGTAAGATGAGGAAACAAGAGGAGGCTGGAGGCTAGAGGTTGGAGGCTGGCAACGAAGTGGGGCCAGTTTGGGGGAGCCATCTTGAACTTTACATGTAATGGGCAGTGATGTAAGCAGCGGCACGGCCCCTTGTCACGTCACTCACCTGCAGTGTAAAGAATGAACTGGAGATAGATAAGAATCTTCCTGTTCAAATGGCAGGTGACATTTCATAGGTGAGAAAGATGGATTTTCCCCCCATGATTTTCTATGTATGCATGTAAGATGAACAGCCATCGTTCCTCCCTACCAAAGGGAGAATTGAAAAACTTAAGTCATGGAAAAGATCTTGGTTCTTCCCTAACCTTTTGGAAATTGCACAGTAGTAAAGATGGGTCCAAGTTTGGGACTTCATTCCTGTTCATGAGTGAGATCATAGAAAGAAACAGGTCCACTTTCCCTGGTCCTCTGGGGTTTAGCCTGGAAGCCGAGCCCTAGGGGAGCTGCTCTGCCTGCTGAGGAAATAGGAGGCAGTTTAACTGGACAAGTGGCTACACATTCACATCTTGTGGTATAGAAAGAAAATTGTTTGTAGAAGTGAAGCAAACGTATCCTGTCTGGTATGCATTTCTATGTCTCAAGAAGCCAGCAGTGCTAGGAGATAGGCAATTTTCATTTCTCCCAGTAAAGCAATCAGAAAAGGCAATTTTCATTTCTCCCAGTAAAGCAATCAGAAAAGTCTTGTCAGAGAGTATAGATAGGAGAATCAAGAATAAAGTGAGAGTATGCAGATCTGCATGAGAAGAAAAGAGCATCCACATTCTCAGAAATTCCAATGAAAGCCAGCCACTATAATCCCAGCTATTCCAGAAGCTGAAATCTGAAGATCTTGGTTTAAAGCCAGCTTGAGCAGAAAAGTCCATAGGACTCTTCTCTCCAGCTAACTAGCAAAGCATCAGAAGTGGAGCTGTTGCTCAAGTGGTAGAGTGTCAGTCTTGAACCAAAAAGCAAAGGGACAGTGTCCAGGCCCTAAGTTCAAGCCACAGTCCTGGCACACAAAGGAAAGAGAAGGGGGAAGGAGAAAGGAAGGCCAGTGAAAGAATTGAGCAAGGCAGATGGAGTGGTGGAAATGTGAGGGAGGAACTGCAGGAGGAGCGAGCCTGTCAGGCAGGCAGGAGCGCTTGGTGGGCCACACTGCGAGATTAAGATATGCAGAGAAGAGGGCCCTGCGTTTGGTAAAACTGGAGAGCCAAAGTATACTTTGTGGTGATAGAAACAGAAGCCAGTTGCAGTGAACCTGCAACTTAAAAAAGGGAAACTCACCAGGTGCAGTGCTGTAATAATCCTAGCTACTCAGGAGGCTGATTTCCAGCGATCACAGTTCAAAGCCAGCCCTGGCAGGAACGTCCATGAGACACTCATCTCCAATTAACTACCAAAAAGAGCCAGAAGTGGAGCTGTGGTAGAGTAGTAGAGTGCTAGCCTTGAGCAAAACAGCTCAAGGACGGCAGCTGGACCCTGAGTTTAAGCCCCAGAACTGACATGCACACACATGCATTCACGTGCATGCACACATGCACACACAGAAGGAAAAAAGAAAGAAAGAAAGCTATACCGGTTTAACAATAATCCTTCACTTTCTTTCTCCCTAACCCAACAGTTTTCTTAAGTGAAATATTATTTTACATTTAATCATCTTTATTAAAATTACTACAAAAATCTTTCACCATGTTGCACAATTTAGAGAGAAAAAAATATATAAAAATATAGTGGAAAATACACATATCTTCTAATTTTAAAGAAGGGTAATGCCAGGCCACCAGTGGCTCACGCCTGCAATCCTAGCATCTCAGGAGGCTGAGATCTGAGGATCGCGGTTCAAAGCCAGCCCGGGCAGGAAAGTGTGAGGTTCTTATCCCCAATTAATCACAGAAAAGCTGGTAGTGGCACTGTGGCTCAAGCAGTAGAGTGCTAGCTAGCCTTGAACTGTTAAACAGGAGCTCAAGGACAGCACCCAAGCCCAGAGTTCAAACTCTAGGACTGGCAAAAAAAAAAAAAAAGTATAAGAGTTGTCATCTTCTCTGAAGCTGTTCTTTTTTTTTTTTTTTTTAATGGAGAAAACCCTGACAATTAAAGGCAACCTGTAGGCTCTTCAAGTTGCCCCCCAGCCTGCCCCCTACCTTCCATGTTTGAACTTCCCACCAGGCCTGGGTCCTGTCAGTGTTTAGCCACGTCTACTTCCACCGGAAGTGGTGTCTAGATATCTGGAAAAGGTCTCGGGAAGCATCCATGTGTGGCCGGCCGGTCTGTGGGACTCAGCTTCCAAGGCCAGAGCAGTGGAAGTCATGCTGCCTTCATTGTGCAGTGATGGAGACTCACCTCTGCAGCCTGCATTCCAGACCCCTTTCGGTGTTAGCCGCACCCCTCCATCTCCCTTACTACAGCGTCTGCCTCTCACTTCAGCCCTTTGCCATTTCCCCCACTTTCGGATCTTTTCTGTGCCATACACATGCCCTGCTTGTCAGGTCCTTCCTCTCTGCCCTCTGCACGTGCAGACCACGTGGCTGCAGCTGTATTCTCTGATGTGGTCACCTCACAGAGTAGGGGTTCACACAAACAGGAATCAGGAAATAAACCCAGCTTGCTCTGGGTTTAACCACATTTATCTGGTTAATTTCAACCGATGGTACCTGAAGGAAGAAGAAATGATCATTTCTGAGGAGAAAGAAATGTGCATAACACAAGGGGGAGAAAAAGTAATTACAGAGAAACCATAAGAGCACAGTGAGATACAGGGGTACAGAGATCTGGGAGGGAAGAGGCTAGACATGAGAAGTTACTAATGAAAGGAGGGAGAGATTTACTGGGAACCCCAATTTGAAGGATTCATAAATTTCTGCTTGGTCTAGAAGCAGTGTCACCTGAGCAAGGAACCCAAGAGGAGCTCCAAGGGGCAAACCAGGGCACCCAAATGAGAGATGACTTAACCCAGGACTTGGATGTGCTGGAAAGGGTCCACGAGGCAAAGACTGAATGTGCCCCGACACCCACCCCAGAAGGTAAGGCTACAGTAGAATCTGCCATTCAGAAGGCTCTGTAGTGAAAGGTCTTTTCTGAAACAGGAGGTGTTAGATATACAGTAAATAATAGAATAGAAGAAGGAGCTTGGTGCTAGTGGTTCACACCTGTCATCTTTGCTACTCAGAAGATATGGATCTGAGGATCACAGTTCAAAGCCAAGCTGGGCAGGAAAGTCTGAGAGACTCTGTATCTCCAATTAACCACAAGAAAACCAGAAGTGGAGCTATGGCTCAAAGTGGTAGAGCACTAGCCTTGAGCCAAAAAGCTTGGGCACAGCATCCAGGCCCTGAGTTCCAGCCCCATGACTGATTAAATTAAGAAAGAAATAAAGAAACAGTAAGGAAAGAGAAGTATGGAGGAAGAGGATACAGTCTGACAAGAGGGACAAAAGGCAACGATCTGAGAGGTTTTGTTAAAGAGATATGTCCACAGAGACAACTCATCTCAGCTGTGATGTAGGACTTCACTCTCAACATTTTAGGTCTCAGGACTTCTTAACAGTCTTAAATGACTGAAGTGCCTGGTGCCAGTGGCTTATACGTGTAATCCTAGCTACACAGGAGACTAGGATCTGAGGATTGTGGTTTGAAGCCATCCCAGACAAGAAAGTTTAAGATTCATCTCCAATTAACCACCAGAAAACCAGAAGAACTGTAGCTCAAAGTGGTAGACTGCTAGCCTTGAGAAAAAAAACTCAAAGATAGCAGCTAGGCTCTGAGTTCAAGCCCCAGGTCCAACAGCAACAACAAAAATTACTGAAAACCCCAAAACATTTTGGTTTCTACCATATTAGAAATTTAAATAATCTTTAAATGTTTGTTTATTTTAAAGTAACCATAATAAACAAATGATCTGGTAACATAAATAAGTTTTTGTGAAAAATACATTCTCTGAAAAACAGATGATGAAAAGTAGTATTTCATAATTTTGCAAATCTCAGTTATGTCTAGCTTTATGAAAGACAGCTAAGAGTCTCACGGTTGTTTCTGCACTCAATCAGTTGTGATCTGTAGCTTTGGTTGAGGAATAAGAAGAAAATCCAGCCGCACACTGAAATGAAATTGAAAGGGTGTAGAGTATTTTTGAACAGTCTTTGGGGATGACTGAGTATTTATCTTTAACACTACATCAAAACTCAACAAGTAGCCAGATGCCAGTGCTTTATGCCTATAATCCTAGCTACTCAGGAGGGTGAAATCTGAGGATTATGGTTCAAAGCCAGGCCAGGCAGGAAAATCTGTGAGTCTCTGATCTCCAGTTAAGCACCAAAAAGCTGGAAGTGGAGCTATGGCTCAGTGTTAGAGCACTTACCTTAAGCAAAAAAGCTCAGGGATAGTGCAGAGTTCCTGAATTCAAGTCCCACAAAAACAGAACTCAAAAAAGTGGTGGGTTTTTTTGTTTTTTTTTGGTATGCCAGTGTTAGCTGGGACTTGAACTCCTGCTCACAATTGGCTATTTCCCCTCACGCTGGAGCATTTCCACTTGAGCCATGCTTCCATTGCAGGTTAGTTAGAAATAACAGTCACAATTTTGTCTGCTTGGGCTAGCTTCAAACCATAATGCTCAGATCTCAGACTCCTGAGTACCTAGGATTGAGCCACTAGCACCTGGCAACAGTGGTAGTTTCCTTTCTTTCTTTTTTGCCATGGGGATTGAACTTGGTGTGGGCACTATATCTGAGCTTCTTTTGCTCAAGACCAGCTTGAGCCACAGTGCCACTTCTGGCCTTTTCTGTTTATGTGGTACTGAGGAATCGAACCCAGGGCTTCATGCATGCAAGGCCAGCACTCTACCACTAAGCTACATTCCCAGCCCCAGTGGTAGTTTCTTAATGATTAGTTATAATAGACTCTGAAACTATGCCAGTAGAATTTTATAAAGTCACAATAGAATATATTGTGCCATCATGCGAAATTTGATAAAATCATATGCGTTTGGAAAATATTGGCTCATTTGAAATATACAGTAAGCTTGTAACTCAATTACAAAAGGATTTTCCTTGAGAAAGAAACACTTCAATGTTCTGTCCACTGCTGATGTGTCAAGCACACTCTTACATGAACCTGAATTTTTTTTTTTCTTTGTCGGTTGTGGGGCTTGAACTCAGGGCTTTGGGCCTGGGCGCCGGCCATCCCTCAGCAATTCGGCTCAAGGTGATCACTCTACCACTTGAGCCACAGGGCCACTTCTGGGTTTCTGGTGGTTTATTGGAGATAAGAGACTTAGGGACTTTCCTGACTGGGCTGGCTTTGAAACGTGATCCTCAGATCTCAGCCTCCTGAGTAGCTAGGATTACAGGCGTGAGCCACCGGCGCCCGGCTACGAACCTGAATTTTTGAGGGGAGCAAGTAGCAGTGAAGGATACAGTGACTCCTGCTGGAGGTTGGAGACCCCACTGTGGAGTATGCAGCAGCAGTTTTACCTGCAGTGCTCTCTGGGTCAGTCTCTTTGCAAAGGCTGAAATAATAGAAAAGCAAATCCTGGAAGGGTGTCAGAGCCTACCCCAGAAGCTCAAGAGCCCCGATGGCTTCCTGCAGATGGTGGGAGTCTCTGAGAGCCCTGCTGACCAGCTTTGCTCAGCTCCCCCCCACCCCAGTGGCAGACAGGTACAGCAACAGGAGATGCAAGTCTGGCTGGTGTGTGTAAGGAGCCTCCAGACAGCTACTCTGGAGTGTATTCTTCTAGGTTATAGGGGAGATTCCCCCTGGAACTTCCCATCAGAAAGGACAAATAGTCCGTGTGTGGTGTGTGTGTGTGTGCGTGTGTGTGTGCATGCGTGCCTTTGCACAGGTGTGTGCGTGCAAGTTCCAGGGCTTAAAGAACTCAGCCTGGGTGTTATGGAGCTTTTTTGCTCAAGTCTAGTGCTCTGCTCCTTGATACACAACTCCACTTGATCTACAATTCCACTTCTGGCCTTTTTAGTGATTAACTAGAAAGAAAAGTTTCACAGACTTTCCTGCCAGGCTGGCCTTGAGATCCTCTGATCTCAGCCTCCTGAGTAACTAGGATTACAGGTTTGAGCTACTGGCACCCAGCACCATTGTTTTTTGTTTTGTTTTGTTTTGTTTTTTCTCAGAGATCAGCCATGAGACCTCAGAAATAAATGAAGGGACGACACCCCAGAAGATACCCAGCACCCCACCAAGAACTACCCATGGTAAAGACTTGGAATTGCAGACCTCAGAGCTCAGTCATCAGAAACCCAAATCAGGTCTGTTGTACTTGAAATCAGTATTGGTCAAACTTTTGTTGTCAATCATCGCTGCCCTATGGATCACTTTTAGTTTTTATTTCCCAGTCACAACCCTCCTCACAATGGTTTAACGTCAGTATGTTATATATGTACACTCTCATATATATATTATATATATATGTATGTATACTATGTCATATATATACTCTCTATTTTATATATCTGTGCATAGAGTTTTTATGTTACATATACATATATATTCTGTGTGTATATATAATTTTTATGTTTTATACATATATAGTTATATACAAATATTTCTCACACCTCCTCAAGAACCAAGCTCTGTACCCCTGGGGGTCTTAGCACTATTGCTGAGACTGTGTCCAGCTATGAATCGAGTGTTTCTTGAGATGAGGTCATCTAAATATTTTAAGCAGTCAAATTTATCTTCTTCTTGCATGATATCTGGCTTTGAATTTCAGCTGAGAAATCCTTTTAATGTCCATGGCTTAGATCTTTTTTGTCATTTCTTGTAGTCTTAAAAACACTGATTAAAATGAAAGTGACCTATTTTATTTTTTAAAGTAGTTGTACAAAGGAGGTACCATTTAACAATGCATCTTGACCAGTGTCACATCCCTGAGTAACATATTTTAAATGCTAGATATTTAGCATCTCTCTATTATATTTTTAACTCTTTCATTTCCATGCCAAATAGAGTCCTTTTTTCACATAGCTTGCATGGATTTCTTGCCTCCTCAAAAGTGATAGAAAGCAGAAAAAAAAAATCCCTTAGCATTGCTAGCTGGGTATAGTGGAGCAGCCTCTAATCCCAGCACTTGGGAGGCAGAGACAGGAGAGTTGCGAGTTTGAGATCAGCCTGGGCTGCATAGTGAAACTTGGTCTCAAGGGAAAAACAAAAAGTATTGATATCTCTGGCTGGTGGGTGAGTATTTGCAGCCATAAGATAATACTTTTTTTTTTTTTCAGAAAAGAAGAAGAAAAAAAAATGTATCTGGTCAACTTCAAGAAGAAGACAGAAAAAAAGGCTTCCAAGAGGTAAGAAAGAGAATCAGAGAAATCATTGCTCTGTTGGTGTCTGTACTTAACCAACCAGCATGGCTTCCTCTCAGCCACACAGACCCCCAGTTCACCCTAGCCTGACTGCCCCAGCCCTGTCCTCTAAACCAGCTCCCAAAGGGTAGGCTGCACTCTAGCTCTCTCTCCCTCCTCCTCCCCCTCTCTTCCTCTTTCTCTCATAGTACTGGCACTTGAACTTGGGGCCCTTGCTCTCACTGTACCACTTGAGGCACAGCTCCGCGTCCAGTTTTTGCTGGTTAATTAAGAGATCAGAGTTTCATGGGCTTTTTTGCTGAGGCTAGTTTTAAACTTCGATCCTCAGAATCCTGAGTAACTAGGATTACATGCAGGAGCTTTTCTCTTACCATAGGGAAGACATGAAGTTAGAGCTGATGGACCATCAGACAATCCTGAGATTTGGATGACGTGCTTAGGACAAAGCCAGGAGGGATAAACAAAGGAAAGTGAAATCCACAAGCAGATTCCAAACCAGAAGCCTCTCAAATGACCTCAGCTGGGCAGTGACTTGCCAGTCTAGGTAGCCTGTGCCCAGGGAACAATGTGATACATACTGCTGACATTTGAAAAAACAAAAACATGCCAGGCACTTGGTGATTCATGCTAGTCAGGAGGCTGAGATGTGGGGATTGTAGTTCGAAGCCAGCCTGGGCAGGAAAGTCTCAAATTAACCACCAGAAAACTGGAAGTGACACTGTGACTCAAAGTGGTAGAGTGCTAGCCTTGAGCGATAAAGCTCAGGGATAGTACCCCAGCCCTGAGTTCAAGCGCCACAACTGACAAAAACAAAAAAACCCATCCTACCTGTTATCCAGTCATTCACCAAAGATGCTTACACTAAAGATACGTTCGGTCTCCTGAAGTGAAGCGTACAGGCACCTGCCCTCATGGAGCTCGCATTCTAATGTGGGATGCCCAAGGGGAAGTGGAAGGGCGGACTGGGAGTCTACCACTGAGCCACTTGAGAAAGGTAAAAAGGTCCAAATGTGAACTTAACTGTCTCACATGTGTATGTGCACACGAAGACAAAATCAGGGTACTGGTGGCTCACCCCTGTAGTGCTAGCTACTGAAGAAGCTGAACACTGAGAACCAAGGCTTGAAGCCTGCTCAAAAGTCTGTGAGACTCTTATCTCCAATTAACCAGCAAAAAGCCAGAAGTGGGGCTGTTTCTCAAGTGGTAGAGTACCAGCTTTGAGCAAAAACCTCAGGAACTACTGGAGTAAGGAAGATACTGGAGTAAGGGAAATAAATGGAGAGGTTAGGTACAGAATGCTCAGGGAGGGTAGGACAGGAAACAGGAAGGAGGGTGCTAGTTTGGGGAAGGAGAGACTCACTGGGGCCCTGATTTAAACTATTCACGAGCCACTCTTGGCCCAGAGGCAGCTTCATCTGGGCGTGGAATCCAGGAGAAAGCCCAAGTGGTGGATCAGGAAACTCAGAGGAAGGACAACTCCGACTCAGCCGAGGATGCAAAGATGGACTGTGCGCAGAAGGCCACAGCAGAGGGTAAGACTGACAGTGCAATCTGCCCTTGGATGGCTGGTGTGGAGGGCCTCTCCCGTGCAAGGCAGGTAGATGGGTAAACTCAATGGGAGGAGCCGGGTGACCCAGCCAGGATCCACCAGTGGGAGTGGCTGTTGGGAGGAGCACTGTGTTGTCGGGGGAGTTCACCTGGTCCTCACATACCCACTGATGATGCCTTCTAGGGGTATGAGTTTGTTTCTCCACCAATTTAGGGATTAAAAAGCAGGAAAGTGTTTATAAAGTAGATGGCCCAGGTAATTCTTCATCATGGAGGCTGGTGGGTGCCAGCTTTGCTGGCTTCTGCCCACTATATACTTGAAGAGTCTGCACCCCATTCCTGACAAGCCAAAGCTTTCCATCCATTGCCAAACATGCCCAGCAGCGGGAAACACTGCTTTATGTACATTCTCCTTTCTAGCCGAGCACCAGGTGAAGCTCCAGTTCTGGCAAAAAACAAACAAAAACCCTTTCTATGTAATCCTTTTAAGGCTGTTCATCCCTTTATTTCCAGGATTTGTGGCATAACTTTTTGAGAAGCTGAGGTATAGTATTTGTAGCAGTCCTTTCTATCAGTCCTTGCTGGCTAGCTTTCCTTAGCAAGGGAAGCCATTTTTGCTTCATAAGGGTCCCTCTAGGTTTCTCATGACAAGGTCAGATGGCACGGCGTGCTTTCCCTTCCTTCCTGCTCAGGTCTCTTCCTCATACACATCCGGACATTTCCTAGTCTTCCAGGAAACTGCCGCGCTCTGACGGCTGTCCCCTGTGTCCCTCAGTATCGGCTCTGCCTCCCTCCCTCCTCTGGCCTTTCGGCACTTCGAATTCAGCTGGGATGTGTGCCTGAGCCATCACCCCCCTGCCAGGCCTTCCCCAGGCTGCCCCCCCTCCTCTTCCATAATCTTCGCCTTGTGCCCTTCCCCCTGTGCGTGGTAAGCATTCTGGGAATTACTCTTGAGCTTGCTTATTAGGTTTTTCCCCTGTGCCACTTGTGCTCTCCATCAGGTTTTTCTCTCCCCTTCCTCCACAGTGCATTTTATTCCTTGAAATCCTTGCTCATCCATTGCTTACCTACAGCCCCTCGGTGTTTGTTCACACTTAACTAATGTGGCCAGAATCAATCACTCCTGTAGTTTCCCTTTGGAAATGGCGCGCTGGTGCTGGAGGGCCGGTGGGCCAGACTCGGCATGGCTGGGAACAAACCAGAAAGCTGCATTTAGCGACAGGGTGGGTTTGGGAGGCCTCAGGCCTGCTGGCCCCCACCCCTGTGCCCTCCCTACAGCAGGGGTGGGAGGGAGTGGGCCCCCTCTGCACGTGGGCTGCTCACACTCACGCCCCTGTACCTGCGTGCAAGCACATCCGGGACCTCTGTGTCCTGCTCTGTATGTGTCACAGGGCGGGCGTTAGGAAAGACATCTCTGTGGACATGGAGAGCTGTGGGAAGTCCCCATGGTCGTGCTTATCCCCTGCCGAGCTCCCAGTGGCCCAAGGATGCCTGCAGCTCCTCCCCCTCAGTGGTGAGAACCAGCAGCAGCAAGTCTCTAGTTCAGATTGGATAACAGCACCCCACACTTGGCTAAGCCAGGATCACAAAGCCACCAGCTCTGGCTCCCAGGCCCCGCCTCCCCGCCCCTCACCCAGGGGATTCAGTGCAGTGGAGACCCACAGAGAGAGCTGGCTGGCAGGCTGTGGGACAAAGTTCTCTGCTCCGCACTCTGTGCCTCACCTGGTGGTCAGCCCCTGCTCCTCCTGGGCTGGGCCCCCTTTGGCGTTCTCTTGAGGGGTGCCATTTCCCAGGGGCCCCACATCTCTTCGTATCTTTTCAAAGTAATTAATGGCTATGCCACATTGGTGCTATTCTTTTTGGGTCTGTGTGTGCGATCCTGGGACTTGAACTCAAGGCATGGCCACTATCCCTTGAGTTTTTTTGCTCAAGGCTAAAGCCACAGCTCCACTTCCTGATGCTATTTTGTTATCCACCCCTGTTTTCCCTTTGAGTCTTTTATTAAGTGCATAAGGTAAGAGAAAGCGTTGGACTGGATGTCCCCCGTGACTCCTTGTGGGTGTGATGGTTTCTGTATCATTACTAAAGGCCTAGAAAGTTCATTCTGTCACCCAAGACCCAGCACCTGGACGGTGAATTCACCACACTGAGGCTGGAGGGGGCTGCTCATATCTCCCTTATACCCTTTGATCTGCTTCTCTTAAATCTGAACCAGAGATTCCCTGCTCTGAGCTTCTGAGCTGCAACATCTCTCCATGAGTAATTTGCAAATCTAGAACTTTCCAGAGTTTTCTTTTATTCAAATGACAAAATGAAATGAGACAGCAAACAATGAAGACTGACACCATCTCTCAGTGCTGACACAAGTCTTGCTTTAAGCCAAGAAATGAAATTTTTATGTGTGTATGTGTGCGCGCACGCACACACACACACACACACACACACACACACATCAGTATTAGGGTTTGAATTCAGGGCCTGGACATTGTCCCTCAGCTTTTTCACTCAAGGCTAGTGCTCACTTGAGCCACAGCTCCACTTCTGGCTTTTTCTCTGGTTAGTTGGAGAGGAATGTCATAGACTTTCCTGCCTGGACTGGCTTTGAGCCATGATCCTCAGAGCTTAGCCTCCTGAGTAGCTAAGATTACACCAGTGCCTGGCTAGGAAATAAGATTATGAACAGAGACCTTTTCTCTGGCTACTTGAGCATAAGGAAATATTTGGGGTAGTCATCTTGTCCACGCACAGAAGATGAGCAGGCTGGTATCTAAGGCTAGAGAGTGTTAGTGATGGCCCATGAGCTTAAAAATGGAAGCACAAGCCAGACACTGGTGGCTCACACCTATAATCCTAGCTACTCAGGAGGCAGAGCTGAGGATCGTGGTTCAAAGCCAGCCCGGTCAGGAAAGTCCATGAGACTCTTATCTGCAATAAACCACCAGAAAAACTGGAAGTGGTGGAGTGGCTCAAGTTCTAGCCTTGAGCTGAAGAGTTGAGGGACAGCACCCAGGCTCAGCCCCGTGTGTTCTCTCAAAGCCTTGTGTCTGATGACGGGCTCATGGTGGTCATTCACTGGAGACTGTCAACATGGAAGGCTTCCTGTACTAACCAGAGACTCTGATGCATTTCAATTTATTTATTTTTGGTCAGTCATTGGGCTTGAACTCTGGGCCTGAGCACTGTCCCTCAGCTCTTCAGCTCAAGGCTAGTGCTCTGCCACTTGAGCCACAGTGCCACTTCTGGTTTTCTGGTGGTTTATTGGAGATAAGAGTCTCACAGCTTTTCCTGCCCAGGCTGGCTTTGAACCTTGATCCTCAGATCTCAGCCTCCTGAGTAGCTAGAATTACAGGCGTGAGCCACCAGCGCCCGGCTCATTTCTATTTTTGTGTGTTACGATTTTTTTTTTTTTGGTCAGTTGTGGGTCTTGAGCTCTGGGCCTGGGCGCTGTCCCTCAGCTCTTCAGCTCAAGGCTAGTGCTCTACCACTTGAGCTACAACGCCACTTCCATTTTTCTGGTGGTTTATTGGAGAGAAGAGTCTCATGAACTTTCCTGCCCAGGCTGGCTTTGAACTGCAGTCCCCAGATCTCAGCCTCCTGAGTAGCTAGGATTACAGGTGTGAGCACCGGTGCGCAGCTTATGTTACGGTTTTTATTGCAGTTCCTGTGAGTCAGCCCTCTGGAGACAGTGAACGAAGGCTGGGTAACCAACCAATCTCTTCTACTTTTAGAAAAACCAGAAGATGATGCTGTAGATTTTCTCTCACCTATGCTGCCTGTGACCTGTGGTGATGCCAAGGGGGTTTTATATAAGGAGAAGATGCAGCAAGGTGTGTTGCTTGCACACCTGCTCCTTTAATCCCAGGAAGGAGGAAGGGCTGGCAGGGGAGAGAGTGTCCTGTGTGTAACTGATCAGGAAAGAAACCCTGCTGGGCAGACTGCTGAGAAAAATTCCTCCTGATGGAGAATTTCCGAACCTTTCCACGTTCTGGAAAGGGACCTGTCCTGCCCCCCAGGAAGTTATCTGTGGACCCTACAATACTGGTCACCATGTCCTTACTGCCTGAAGAGAGCAGAAGACACACGCTGCTGGCCAAGCATTACGGGCGTCCCCCTTGGCCTGGGGAAGTGGGAGAGCACAGTTAGGAGCCCGGGGGTGAGGGGTGAGGTCCTAGGGTTGAAGTGGGTCCTGGATGGCCTGTGTTCTCTCACAGGTTCTTCAGAGAAGTGCATTCAGAACGAGGAGGGAACCTGGTTCACACCCGACGAATTTGTAGTTGAAGGAAAGAGAGAAAAGTCAAAAGACTGGAAGAAGAGCGTGCGCTGCAGGGGACAGACCTTGCGGCACCTGATGGAGGTATTACACGAACCAGGGGCTGATCCAGGATGGGTTCAAGCCCCAGAAGGACGAGTAGAATTTCTGTGGCAGAAATGTGAAGGCATTCCCAATTATGCTTGGACAGAATGAGTTAGAAACCGCTCCGTGTTCAGAGCGGAATGCAGATTGGCGCTGCTGCTGAAGCCCTCCCCTGCAGATCAGCCAGGGGGCGAATTCTGAGTGCAGGCAAAAAGGGTTTTGAGATCAGGAGAGAGTTCAGAACTTTGCCTGGTGCTTTTGAGAGATCGCAGGAGTTTGCCTTGTACATCCCCTACCCAGAAGACCCCCGGTGACAGCCCCGCTCGTGTGGGAAGTGTTCCCTCAGCAGCGTCTGTGGCCGCCTCTCTCTGCTCTGGCGTGCTCTTCCGTCCCTGACACCTGCAGAGGGCTCTCACCTTTGTGATTCGGGCTCAGTAATAACTCAGTTCATCATCCCGGGGATCCAGTTATAAGGGTTTTAGCTAAAGAGGAAATGGATGAAAAAAAATCATAGGGAGAGGATGGGAGAAAGAAAAGCTTGATTTAAGTTACAAGGGGAGAAAATCATTTTATCATCAAGCGAAATCCAAAAGAATGAATTGGGGGATAGCTAGGCTTTGCTTTCACATTGCATGCACTTGACAGCCTGCTTGGCATCTAGATAGAGACATTTATTGGGAAGGGGGAGCTGGGATAAGGCGCTTCCAGAATAACCTCCCCTTATCAACTCCTTCTTTCAGAAAAGACTTTTGTTCTGCCCTTCAAAAGTGAATATGAAGCGAAAGGTCACTAGCAGGTGAATTCCCAGCACGTCCTCCGGCTCTTGTGTCCCAGCTCCGAAGGCAACCTCATCAGCCGCTCCAGCATGCTCCAGCATGCTGCTCCATGCCCCGGCCTCCGTTACCACCAGTTACTAGGGACAAGGAGCCACAGGACTCCTTGAGACAAAAATCAGGACAAGTTACTCATGCGCAGATCCGGCTCACGAGCCTCCCATTACACGGGAACTTCCAGCAGAGGCCCTGGTGCATCTGTTCTTCAGAGACTGGCCTAACCTTTGTCTGCATTCAGAGTTTCGTTGGTTGTATTGTTGTTTGTTTTGTGCTGACCCTAAGGCTTGAACTCAAAGCCTGGGTGTTGTCTCTGAGCTTTTTTTTTTTTTCCCCCTCAAGTCTGGTGTTCTACCAGTTGAGCCAGAGCTCTACTTCCAGCTTTTTTTTTTCGGGGGGGGTCAGTTTTATTGGAGATGTTTCATGGACTTGCCTATCCAGGCTGGCTTTGAACTGAGATTTTCAAATCTCAATCTCCTGAGAAGCTAGAAGTAGCTCTTGGCTTTCTATGATGAGCCACCAGCACCTGACTTTCATGTAACATTTAATATAATGGTCCCCTGGTGCTACTTATGTATAAACCATCTTTCCATGCTTTCCTGTGTGCGTGTGCGTGTGCATGTCCGTGCGTGCACAGGTACTGGGGTGCCTAGGCTCTGTCACTTAGGCTTTTGGCTGGTGTTTTACCAGTTGAGCTAATCTCCACTGCCAGGTTTTTGGTAGTTAATTGAAGATAAGAGTCATGCAGGCCTTCCTTAGATCTCAACCTTCTGAGTAGCTAGGATTATGGGTATGACATGCTGATTAGGACTGAGGTAGAATTGAGGATGTTCAGTGTAACATTAAAATTCTACCCATATCATAAAATAAGCTGGTATATCTACAGAGAGCGTTTTTTAATACTTGAATTCATAGATGTTGCTATGGCTTCAATGTCTCCCATCAAAACTGATGTTGGAACGTAAATCTCCATTGCATAATAGGAGGAGGGGGGCTGGGAAGATGGCTCAGTGGTAGAGTGCTTGCCTAGGCCCTGGGTTCAATTCCTCAGCACCACATAAGCAAAAAGAAAAAAAAAGCCAGAAGTGGCACTGTGGCTCAAGTGGTAGAGCGCTAGCCTTGAGCTGAAGAGCTGAGGGACAGCACCCAGCCCCAGAGTTCAGGCCCCACGACAGGACCCCCAAAAAAAAATCAAAAAAAAAATAGGAGGAGGGTAGAAATTTAATCCAGCTATCCTATTTGGAGGTCTGACTTTAGGAAGTGATTGAAGTTAAATGAGGCCATGGTAGTAAGGCTCTCATCTAATGTGACTGGATTTACAAGAAGAGGGCGCTGGTGACTCATGCCTGTAATCCTAGCCACTCCAGACTGAGATCTGAGAATCTCAAATAAGAGCCCCTAAGACAATTATCTCCAGTAAACTGCCAAAACAAAACAAAACAAAAAAAAACAAGACCTGTGACTCAAGTGCTATTCTTGAGCAAAAGAAGCTCAAGGACAGTGCCAAGACCCTTACCTCAAGCCCCCCGACCAGCACCCCTCCAAAGAACAAGCGTATGCAAAGATCCTGGCTCAGTTTATGTGAACCCTGTGACCTGTGCCTAGAAAAATACCTGAAAGAACCACCTGGGGCAAATAGGCGCTTCTGTATTTATATACGGTTAGAACTGTTACAGTGACTCTTAACTTTTGTAACCAGGATAAAATAAAGTTCTTTAATAACTTGATTTACAATGCCCCATGACGACACGGTGGGAGGGGCGCACTTAACCCAGTCTCCTGGTGCAGTGAAGATGCATTTCCACACGGGAGATCCAAAAACGGCTCTGGTGTTGAATGAGATTGGAGCCAAGGTAGAACTTCCTTGCTGGCATCAGGGCTGCCCTGGTTTGAGCTCCCTCAGCCCCTGAGGCAGGACAGATTTGCATGTACTTACCTGCCTTGCCCAAATATGGGGTGATTAGAAGCATCTCAAGTCTGTCAGCACTAAATATAAAGATGGAACCGCAGCCTCCGTTATGGGACCGGACTAGAGCACAGAGCGTCTCCTTGCGCAGATGTGTACCAGAAACTGCCCGCTCCAGGGCCTGGTGGAGTCCTGGCTTGCGAAGGTCTGAGCTACCAGGACAGGTGTCTAGGGGGAGGGCGAGGATGGCCACGGGTCAAACCCGAGGCAAAAGAAAGATACCGGTGGCTTGTGCCTGCAATCCTAGCTACTCAAGAGGCTGAAATGTGAGGATCGTAGTTCAAAGCCAACCCAGGCAGAAAAATCCATGAGACTCATCTCCAATTAACCACCAGAAAATCAGAAGAGATCCCCTGTGGCTCAAAGTGTTAAGAGTGCTAATACTGAGAAGGAAAGCTCAGGAACAATGTCCAGGCCCTGGGTTCAAGCCCCAAGACTGAAAGAAAAAAAAAAAGAGGCAGACTGGTAACCTCAGAAAGATCCCAGTCCTGGGGTCTAGGTAGCTCCATGTGCAGTGTCCTAGGGACAAAGGAAAGGGCAGTGGCTTGGGAAGTTCCTCACCCAGAGAGGAGATGGTCTGTCGACACAGATAAAAGAAACTTCTCCTGATTGTCTTTAGTTCAAAGAAGGATTACCTTGTGCAGGGGATACCCAAGCATTTATGTGTGTGGAGGAGAGACAAGGGTTCTTGTCTGTGGTTTTGTTGTTGTTTTGTTGGTTGTGGGGCTTGAACTCTGGGTCTGGGTGCAGTCCTTCAGCTCTTCAGCTCAAGGCAAGCGCTCTACCACTTTGAGCCACAGTGCTACTTCCAGTTTTCTGAGTGGTTTATTGGAGATAAGAGTCTCATGGACTTTCTTGCCTAGGCTGGCTTTGAACCATGATCCTCAGATCTCATCCTCCTGAGTAGCTAGGATTACATGCATGAGCCACTGGCACCCAGCTTTGTCTGTGGTTTTGTATAACATCTTTGACTCTCTTAGCACCCTAACTGTTGGCCTCTCATCTGGTGTTCTACTATTTAAGCCATGCCTCCAGCCCAGCTTTTTGCTGATTGTTTTGAAGGAGAATTTCCAAGACTTTTCTGTCCAGGTTGGTCTAGAAACTTGGTTCTCTAGATCTCAGCCTCCTGAGTAGCGAGTATTGTAGGCTGAGCCTCCACTGCCCAGCCTTTGGGTATCTTTCGAAGCTGTTGGCACTGAGGGACTCTTCTTGGCTGGATGGTGAGAGATGGGAACTTGGGCATGTGCACCTGTGTGCCAGAGAGGCTCAGATAAGAAACTAAGCTGCTTTGACTCTGCAAAAAAGAAAGATGAAAGAAAGGAGGGGGTGAGGAAGAAAGGGAGGGAGGGAGGAATCCTTTTTTCTCCTCAGACCTGTAAAAGGAAGAAGCCTAAAGTGATGCTTTCTCCAAGGCATGTTCTTACCAACACCTGAATGCTGTGGAAACAGACCCACTGAGCAGTGCTGGTTCCTCCTCCGCTGCGGGCACTGCTACAAGGGAAGCTCCTGGTGCGGTTCAGCTTCGCCAGACTGTACTCAGGGACCCGTGACTATATAGCCCACATTGGCCTCAAACGCACGATCTTCCTCAGTCTCCTAAGTGCTGACATCAGGGGCATCCACCACCACTCCTGGACCCTGGCCAGGCTTTGTTAGGCTGAAGGAGCGCTTGCCCCGGCCCTGGATGAAACTATGAAGAGTTCTTTCACAGGCAGCAAAAGATACCCAGCCCCCAATTAGTCATCCATACCTTTCCAAAATGGAGACGCAAGGTCACTGGACAAGAATACATAAAATAAAGGACTCGGTCTGGCAATGGCTCAGTAAAACCCATCTCGCGTCCCTTGCTGAGTTAGCACTGTGGCAGCCTCCTGCCTCCACCTGGAGGCTCTGCAGCGGAGGTCTGGCCCTGTGGGGGCCCTACCCACCGCACAGGCCACCCACTGCAGCCTTGCTGGACAGAACCAGGCCCCAGTGAAGGCCAGACAGGGTGACCCCCCAAAGAAAGCAACAACCCCAGACTGAAGGAGAATCCCTGGGGGCAGGCTCTTCAGATCCCTGAGGCCAGCTGCCTCCAGTTCAGAAAAGGAGAGAATTTCCCCAGCCACACTGCCAGCAAGGCCTCATCCGGGCTCACTCTCCCCACGCTCCTCCAGCCTCCCAGGGTAGAACTATAAATGCAAATGAAAACCATCAGAACTTTAATTTTTTCAGTTAAATTTTCCAAAGAAAATTTGAGACATGGCAGAGATGATGGCCATAGTTTATTCAAAGCATTCTCTCCCTCCCCCCTCCTTTCCCCCTCCCCTGCAACAACAGCAGCGGCTGGCACCTCATTTGGTCCACCGGAACCCTGCCCAGCACTGGTGCATGTTCATACTAGGCAGAGGTGGCATCTGGCCAAATAGAGCCTCGCAGACACCTAAGGTAATGCACATGTACATGAAGAGCAGACATAATAGTCGTCCAGGAGTTAAAGTGGAAAGCTGGCACCTGTGGCTCACACCTGTCATCATAGATACTCAGGAGGTGATTTGGAGCTAGCCTAGGCAGGAAGATAATGCTTATCCCCAATTAACCACCCAAAAAGTCAGAATGTGGCTCAAGTGGTAGAACACTAGCCTTGAGCAAAAAGAGCTCAGGAACAGTGCGTGGACTCTGCGTTCAAGCCACAGGATGACAGAGAAGTCAGGGGAGGGGTGGGGAGAAGAGAGGGAGAAGTGGAGAGAGGAGAGGAGAGAGAAGGAAAGAATGAAAGATTTGTGAGCCAGAAACCAATGGCTCACACCTGTAATCCTAGCTACCCAAGAGGCTGAGATCCAGGGGCTGTGGTTCAGAGTTAACCCAAGTGGGCAAATCCATAAGACTCTTACTTCCAATAACCAGCAAAAAGCCAAAAGTAAAGGTATGGCTCAGTTGGTAGAGTACCACTCTTGGGTAAAAAAAGCCCAGTGAGATAAAAAGATTGCTCCAGTACCAGCACACACAGAAGCAAAGCAAAACCCAAAAGCACCAAAGGCAAATTCCTGCAAGAATTTGTCTCATTCTCCTGCTTCAGACTCGCTTGGATTTACCTGGTGCATTAACCCCATGTGTGAGGTGGATCGCTGTTCTCCTGGGCAATGTCATTCTCTCTGGCAGCTGAAAGGAGACACTCAGAACTTTCTGGATCCTACACAGTTAACTCTCTTTGCAGAGAATAGTGAAATGCAGGATGTGTGTGTGTGGTGATCATGCCCACACATTATCTTCATAGTTTGAGGAGACAATGGTCCTTGAAATGATGTGCCCCCCTCAATGTCTATTCTCCTTTCTTAGTACTAGGA